TCACCTTTACGGCGAAGGTGTTCTGCGCTCCCGCGGTTTGTTCGGACTGGTTGACGCCAGGAGCTGGCAAGCCACCCACATCCGATACGAGACACTTTCGACACACCCTTTACTGTGACTATTTAGTTCAGCTCTAGGAAGTGTCGTCGACGCGCAACTGAGCAACGCACTGGTGCACAGGAGATAGCTTACCCGCCTACGATATGCTGCCTATCGAGGCCAACAACTGCAACCAGCGCGACTCGACGTGCGAATGAACGCATGTATGCATGAGGTATACCACATGAGATATTCATAGCAACAACAATCAGGCAGAGTGAAAACTCACTTGGAATGCTGTCGGTTCATGTACAATTGATCCGGCTGACCGCGGTGTCACCTATGTGGTAGTCTGTACGTATGTGTATTTGAATGTTTTGAGGTACACGTCAGATAGATCCTGTCTGTGTCATCGTGTATGGGTGTACACTAGTAGACTATATTCCTTTTTTTTCCTTCAAAATGTGTGCGCCCTTAATTGATTGATGAAGTCGACTTATGGCCTGGCACCATCAACAATCTATCAGTCACAGGAATACCATATGTCCTTCCGGGCTCTGCTCAAACCTCTCCCTTCGGCCACCCAAGGACGGCACCAGCCCTACACCTTCCGTTTCAGCCGAACTAACGTCCCGGAGCAATCCACGCAGGCCACATTTACCGGTAAGGCGAGTGTTGAAGGGACAAAGCCACGCGTTGTAACGAACTGGCACAAATAGTCTGCTGCCAGAAGTTGTAGGTTTGTCGGCTAAACAGGGCTGCATCATCCCCAATCGGCTGCAAATATAGTCATCGTGAACAAATGGCAAACAGAAAACTGGACTGCTGCCTCAACGGCAACAGACCACAACATTCAGTCAGTCTTGACCGATGGACGCAACCGGCAATGCACGTCAACACAACGAAAGGGAGCTCTTGCTGCATGGGCCGTGGCGCGGAGCGAAGACGCTATGACAAGTTCCAGTGTCTCCATGAGAACGCTTTTTGAACTCCATGTAGTTTTTTGGCCGGCTGTTGCCTCAGCCGGCCTGAGAGAGCGTCCTGCTTCCACGCTGTTCAACTCCACCGCCTCATCATCTAGTTCGTTCGAGCACCGCGACCTGAAGGCGTATTATTACGGAGGTGGGCCGTTGGCTTCGAGATTCATGTCGTCGCAGTTAGAAGATGTTCCAGAGAGAGATGATTCGGTTGAGGTGGCATGTAGAATCATCGCGTTGCTGGTTTGATGAGTGTGGTAGTAGTTATGGTGGGGGTACATACTACTACTAGTAGACACAGCGTGTGTACGAAACACTTGGGATTCGAATGGTCTGCTGTCATTTTGGTAGTGTCAATCACATGCAAATGTACATAGACTATAATAGTCTACACGTTTAACTTTGCGGAGAGCGTGCGTGGAGGTTTGGACATACTCTGAGGTGCTCTTGTTGGATCGACATGTCGTGCTTCACCCATAGTATGTAGCATCGCCGTGAAAGAAGTCGCCGTCTCCCGGACGTGCGTTGTACGTGGTAGATCTACTGCTGTTAGCCAAGGTTTTCGGTAGAATCGACTACTAGAATGTCAGGAATGAGTGGCAAGAAGAATGCATGTACTGAGGATGGACTACAAATGTATCTACCCGGGCAGTTATCCCATGGTTGGTTATTCGAAGGCGTCGCATCCATATCCGCTGAGCAGTGTATTGTACCAACATATCTCTATCCCCACACTACAGTATCGACGGAGCTTTTCCCATCGTGTTTCCGTTTTGCAGAATTTCTTCCATGCAGGAACGATCCTTCAAGTGACTCGGCGTGTTTCTCGTGCTTGCAATGGGGCTGCCCGCAGGGGCACTTCACGCCAAACCTGCCGAACTGCTACACGTTTTATTGGTCTCCCGACGATGACTATCGTCCCAAGTCTTACACCTATGTCGACGAGTGTAGCGATCTCACCTGCTGCGAGGATGAATGTGAGTGCGCTCAACTGCTGGTGCCCTAAAAGTAGTCTATCTACCCACAGTAGTATTATAGTAACAACCACGATCCGCCGCACTCTGCAATGGCTCACAGTACAAGCGCGCCACCGCAGAGGAATCTGACGCGTAAAAAGCTCCAATTGGGAGTCTTGTTCAGTTTGTCAGGCAAGGCCGTACAGGATGGGCCTGCCAGCCCGGGTGGTGAGTGAGATGAAAGAGAAGCGGACCCACCGCGTCTGCGTTGTCATTACTTGTGTCTGCTTAGTCTAGACATGAAGACTAAATCGGGTTCATGCTTCAGTACTGTGGGTAAACTAACGATAATCAATTGCATCAGTACATCACTGCAGGTGTTTATTGTTAACCTCTAGATAAAAAAGGATTTGGGGGTCGAGGTATACGTCTACCTGGGAATAAACCCGAAGCCCTACAAGACCGCTAAAACCGGCGATACTTGACGATATTCGCCAAGTGATGCGCTTGTGGTGGGAGGGCAGCACTCGGAACCAAGAGTGCTCGAGGGATGCGAACGAGAAACACCACGGCTACACTAATGTAGGCCGTGTCTGCCAAGTACCAACTGTCACAAAGAACCGGCTATCTGTGTGATGTATCTATACGCCTTTATATGTGTAGACTATCCGACTTCACACAGGTGGCCTGTTTCAAGGATAGGATAATCTTGTCCGCGGCAGATGGTATTTCCTTTTCTGGAGTCTCGAAGACTCGCTACTTCCATCCGACCCTGACTGTCCTTTGGCAACACAAAAGTATGGGAAGTTTCGTTATCCTCGCCAGTCCTCTTCATTGCGACTATGCATATGCATACACCCTACATGCTCAGGCGTGGAAACACGGCATGACACCATGTGGTGACGTTGCGGGTTTCTCCCTCTGGTAAGCCTCGTAAGGAGAAGCGTTCAGCTGTGCCCAAAGAGAACGTCTGCGACATAATCCTCGTACATGAACTCTCGCCATACTTTCAGACACTGACGTCTTTAATTGCAAGGATTACAACGGCTGCCCCGAAGGAACAGAAAGCCTCCTGGTTGCATGTGTGGCCGAGGGCTTGAACACCTTTTACCCTCCATGTGATGAAGATGTATGCTGCGGAGGTGAGCACCCGCACAGGGTATAACGTTTCATATCCAAAATGTATCTTCTCGATTGGTATGGGGTTGTATTATCTACTGCTGTAGCACGCGCATTCGTTCGACTCAGCCGGGGCGCTAGAAACGTTGTTGTGGGTGTAACTGCGAGAAATGACAACCACGGCAACGACAGCCACAACAACGACGAGGACGACGGCGAAAGCGACGGAGATGACGATAGCGACGACCACGCCGAAAATCACAACGACCATGACGCCGAATAGTAACGGTGACGATGATAACGACAGTACCACCACCAAAGGATATTCCCTGGTAGGTAGCAGGAAGAAATTCCCGACTCATGGCTCCCACCCGTCTGCACTGAACGTTTGCGCGACACGCAATACAACGTTACCCACTCATTCCAGGACCAACTCCGGGCCCCACTTCCGTGCCTACGCCCGATCCAGCGACTCCTCCGGGACCCACTCCGGGACCCACTCCAGCGCCCACTCCAGTGCCTACTCCAGCGCCTACTCCGCCCACTCCAGCGCCCACTCCAGCGCCCACTCCAGCGCCATCTCCGGCGCCTACTGCAGCGCCCTCTGCAGCGCCCACTCCCTTGCCTGCTCCAGCGCCCACTCCGGCGCCCACTCCGGCGCCCACTCCGGCGCCTACCCTAGCGCCTACTCTAGTCCCTACTCCAGCGCCTACTCCAGCGCCTACTCCAGCGCCTACTCCACCGCCCACTCCACCGCCTACTAGTGCGCCTACTCCAGGACCCACTTCAGGACCTACTCCCGCGCTCACTCCAGCGACAACTCTAGCGCCCACTCCAGCGCCTACTCTAGCGCCCACTCCAGCGCCCACTCCAGTGCCTACCCTAGCGCCTACTCCAGCGCCTACTCCAGCGCCTACTCCAGCACCCATCCCAGCGCCTACCCTAGCGCCTACTCCAGCGCCTACTCCAGGACCCACTTCAGGACCTACTCCCGCGCCCACTCCAGCGACAACTCTAGCGCCCACTCCAGCGACTCCTCCGGGACCCACTCCAAGACCTACGCCAGGACCAACTCCGGGACCTACTCCAGCGCCCACTCCAACGACCACTCTAGCGCCCACTCCAGCGCCCACTCCAGCGCCCAATCCAGCGCCCACTCCAGGACCCACTCCAGCGCCCACAAGTGCGCCTACCCTAGCGCCCACTCCAGCGCCTACTCCAGCACCCACCCCAGCGCCTACCCTAGCACCTACTCCAGCGCCTACTCCAGGGCCCACTTCAGGACCTACTCCAGCGCCCACTCCAGCGACAATTCTAGCGCCTACTCCAGCGCCCACTGCAGCGCCCACTCCAGCGCCCACTCCAGCGCCTACTCCAACGTCCACACCAGGACCAACTCTAGGACCCACGGTAGTGCCGACTCTGGCACCCACTCCAGTGCCTACTTCAGCGCCCACCCCAGCGCCTACACTAGCGCCTACTCCAGCGCCTACTCCAGGACCCACTCCAGGACCTACTCCCGCACCCACTCCAGCGACAACTCTAGCGCCCACTCCTGTGCCCACTCCTGCGCCCACTCCAAGACCTACACCAGGACCAACTCCGGGACCTACTCCAGCGCCCACTCCAGCGACAACTCTAGCGCCTAATCCAGCGCCCACTCCAGCGCCCACTCCAGCGCCATCTCCGGCGCCTACTGCAGCGCCCTCTGCAGCGCCCACTCCCTTGCCTGCTCCAGCGCCCACTCCGGCGCCCACTCCGGCGCCCACTCCGGCGCCTACCCTAGCGCCTACTCTAGTCCCTACTCCAGCGCCTACTCCAGCGCCTACTCCAGCGCCTACTCCACCGCCCACTCCACCGCCTACTAGTGCGCCTACTCCAGGACCCACTTCAGGACCTACTCCCGCGCTCACTCCAGCGACAACTCTAGCGCCCACTCCAGCGCCCACTCTAGCGCCCACTCCAGCGCCCACTCCAGCGCCCACTCCAGCGCCCACTCCAGCGCCCACTCCAGCGCCCACTCCAGCGCCCACTCCAGCGCCCACTCCAGCGCCCACTCCAGCGCCCACTCCAGCGCCCACTCCAGCGCCCACTCCAGCGCCCACTCCAGCGCCCACTCCAGCGCCCACTCCAGCGCCCACTCCAGCGCCCACTCCAGCGCCCACTCCAGCGCCCACTCCAGCGCCCACTCCAGCGCCCACTCCAGCGCCCACTCCAGCGCCCACTCCAGCGCCCACTCCAGCGCCCACTCCAGCGCCCACTCCAGCGCCCACTCCAGCGCCCACTCCAGCGCCCACTCCAGCGCCCACTCCAGCGCCCACTCCAGCGCCCACTCCAGCGCCCACTCCAGCGCCCACTCCAGCGCCCACTCCAGCGCCCACTCCAGCGCCCACTCCAGCGCCCACTCCAGCGCCCACTCCAGCGCCCACTCCAGCGCCCACTCCAGCGCCCACTCCAGCGCCCACTCCAGCGCCCACTCCAGCGCCCACTCCAGCGCCCACTCCAGCGCCCACTCCAGCGCCCACTCCAGCGCCCACTCCAGCGCCCACTCCAGCGCCTACTCCAACGTCCACACCAGGACCAACTCTAGGACCCACNAGCGCCCACTCCAGCGCCCACTCCAGCGCCCAATCCAGCGCCCACTCCAGGACCCACTCCAGCGCCCACAAGTGCGCCTACCCTAGCGCCCACTCCAGCGCCTACTCCAGCACCCACCCCAGCGCCTACCCTAGCACCTACTCCAGCGCCTACTCCAGGGCCCACTTCAGGACCTACTCCAGCGCCCACTCCAGCGACAATTCTAGCGCCTACTCCAGCGCCCACTGCAGCGCCCACTCCAGCGCCCACTCCAGCGCCTACTCCAGCGCCCACACCAGGACCAACTCTAGGACCCACGGTAGTGCCGACTCTGGCACCCACTCCAGTGCCTACTTCAGCGCCCACCCCAGCGCCTACAC